ATTGCCAGTGCTGTAGCATTACTTTTTGACATCATGCACAAGTTGTCTTTCATATTAGGAAAGGCTATTCCTATCTCAAAACATAATTGTAAGCTCATGTGGGGATATGGCTGAAGGATTGACATGACTTTACATATTGCTATTGCCACATCATCAGTTTCTCACATCATGCCCAAGTTGGCTTTCAAGCTAGAGGAGGCTATTCATGTTGATATCTACTCAATACATGGTCAACTTACAACATGACCTGACTTAAAGATACCTCCAAGGATGAATCAGCCCATCATCCTATGGCCCTCAAAGAGCAGTATCAAAGTTGATGATGTTTGGGACAGGCCAGTAGCTATCAATGTGAAAGCAGACAGTGTGAAAGCCAACTTGGTCATGATGTAAAAAACTGGTGATGTCATGTCAATCCTTCACCCATATCTCCACATGAACTCATAATTATGTTTTAAGGTACGACGGTAGGTATCAATATGAAAGGCTTAGAATAGCCTTTCCTAATGTGAAAGACAACCTGTGCATAATGTCAAAAACTCATGCTGCAGCACTGGCAATATCATGGCAATCCTTCAACCTCATGCCCATAACCTAGACAGGATTAATGACACCACAAAATACATGGCAACTTGTAGTCTCAAAAAGCGGACACAAACTTTTGTAGTCTCAAAAAGCAGAAGCGCACACTACAAACTTTGTAGTCTCAAAAAGCGCACACTACAAACTTTCTAATGAAAAAGTGGACACTACAAACTTTGTAGTCAGGATAACCTTTTGACCCTAACCCTAACTTTGTAGTCTAAGTCCAAGCTTTTGTAGTCCAAGTCCAACTTTTGTAGTCTTTTATAGTCTATCAGTAAACTTGGTAGTCTTTTGTAGTGTATTAGTAAACTTTGTAGTCTAAGTTCAACTTTTGTAGTCTTTTATAGTCTATCAGTAAACTGTGTAGTCTAAGTCCGACTTTTTTGTAGTCTATCAGTAAACTTGGTAGTCTATATCTGACTCTTATAGTAGGGCATGAACCTTCCTTTTTTGGTCATTTTTCCCATGATACAATAATTGTAGCCCTTTCTTTTAGCTTTCTAAATATGCTGAAATCATGTTATTTGGTTTTGTTTTCATGGAGAAAAACACAAAAAAAAAAAAAAAACAGGACACTTTTGAAATTCCTTTACCTCATATCTCCACAACAAAAGCACTTCAGAACATAATTCAAACAGATTTGGGAAGCTACAGTGTAGGGCTACAATTTTCGTTTTTTTGACCATTTTTGGTAATTGGTCATGTGACCATCATCCCAACATCCCCTTACATGGACCCTGATAGGTAAAGTCATTCTCCTCTTGGTTTTCTTCACTTTTTAGTCAAACCAGGTGATATTTCCCTTTTGGGATGTACCCTGAAGGCAGTGCCTGATGTTCAAATCGCAATGATATTGGCCAAGTAGCTAATGAAATTTCCAATGATATCGCCCAGGTTTCTAATGAAAATCACAATGATATAGGCCAAGTAGCTAATGAAATTTCCAATGATATTGGCCAGATAACTAATGAAAATCGCAATGATATTGACCAAGTAGCTAATGAAATTTCCAATGATATCGCCCAGGTTTCTAGTGAAAATTGCAATGATATCGGCCAGATGAATAATGAAAATCGCAATGATATTGCCCAAGTAGCTAATGAAATTTCCAATGATATCGCCCAGGTGTCTAATGAAATTTCCAATGATATCGCCCAGGTTTCTAATGAAAATCGCAATGATATTGGCCAAGTAGCTAATGAAAATTGCCTAATGAAAAGGCATGGTAACTGGAATGATTCCTATCATAAAGACTGTGGACTTATACACAGGGAGCCCTAGGCAGTTACCTTATTTTTATGATAAAGGTGGTACCCACTAGTGGTTGTTCCGTGGGCGCTGGGGCATTTTCGTGGGGAGGGTGTGGTTTTCGTGGACAGGGTGCAGTTTTCGTGGGTGTTAGGGTGTTTTTGTGGGTGCTGGGGAGTTTCCGGGGGTGGTGGCAGCTGCAAACCAGGGAGTGGGGGGCAAGGAGGTTGGCCACATCGACGGGGCACCTGAATAGTGAGCAGTGGGGGTGGAGAGGCCTGCTACTCACTTGGGTGGCTCAAAACAACCTGACGGTGACGACTGGTACGTCGTCACCGTCAGACGACGCGTATTCACATCGTCTGACCTTCATTGCCGCATTTGCCTGGTCGTCGTGGTGGGCACTCGTGAATCGTGGTGGGCGCTGGTCGCCGTTGGTTGATGGCGGTGCTCTGGTGGTGCCACGTTGTTGTCATCTGGTTGGTGGTGGGCGCTTGTGGATGGTGGTGGTGCCACATTGGTGGTCGTTACCGTTCGTTGGTGGTGTGTCGTGGCCGTTGTTGGGTTGTGTGGTGTCGTTGTCGTTGTCGCCGTTGTCAATGTGGTTGGTGGGAGGGAATGGAGGTGGGGAAGAGGATGGTCGGTGGGTGGAAAAGAAAGAGTGTTGCATTTGTTTGGTAGCGTTGCCTTTGTTTGGTAACAAAAGTAAAATAAACAAACAATTGACCGGATTCCGTTGCATTCCGTTCCTGCCATTCCTGCAGAACATTCCGGTGTCAATTCCAGAATGCCCAAATTCCGCTGGAATGGTAAGGCACCGGAATGATGAAAATAGCAGGCCTCCCTGCTAAATTTCATTCCTCTGGAATCCACCGGAATCCGCAGGAATGACCGGAATCCTGCAGGAATTAGGGGGGCACTGATAAGACCTCCATCATCGCGCAATCCAGCTGATCTGTCCCCCTTCGGCTATAAATGCGCGTGCACGTGGGCGTCTCAGGAGATCATTCATTTTGGCTAAGTAGGAAGAACAGAAGGTGATCGTGTTATCCATGGGCGACAACGGTTGTTCCTGGAAGCTCACGCCATATGAGAACAAGGCTGAAGATTTATCCAGGCTGTCGACAATCAAAGGCCTGAATTGTCTGATGCGGTCTGGTGGCAGGGCAAGGTAGAATCTGAGGCCGTGTTCTATTGCGGTGGTGAGTAGTGTCTTGGCTGTCCTCGTTGTGTCCCAACAATTTGCCCAATAACGCATACGGGCTTCACTTTCGATATCTGGGATAAAGATGAAAGCAGCCTCAAGGAAGTCAGTATTCCAAGTGTAGTGGGGTGCTCTCCACATACGTGATCTTCACAGACTCATCCTTCAACAGGCACTGGAACATAACCTCTGGTTTCTCATGAGGTGCGAAGTAGGGATCGGACAGGTGAACTGGGGATTGAGAGCGATGGAGTGGGGTGATCTCTTCTCTGTGAGACATCTGTAACTCGGTTGTCTGTCGTCATGCTGACATCAAGAGCTCATCATTGCATCGAATCCAAGCAGCAGGGCTGTTCACCGTGTGTGGGTGGTAAAGGTTATCTGGCACCTCTGGGAATCTGTTGAAGTCCTTGTCAGAAGAGTCACTTCGCTCGTCAACGGACATGGTTGACGGTGTGCTATCCGATAAACGATCTTGCAAAGATCTGTTGGTGTTGGTGACATGCATGTTCAACCGTTGCAATAGGGAGGCTGTATTCAGCATTGGCTTCTTCCTTCCAGTGATAAGGCCCGTTTCGAGGTTGTACGTGACACCTGGCCTCGGTCCATAGTTGAACTTGTAGAGTTCCTGAATAGTCCCTGCGTATTCCTTGCCAGGCAGGCTAACCTTGAATTGGCGTTTGAGGTAGTTGTCCCTTGGTTCACGTTTCCTCCATCTCCAAAATACGACAGTCTTGTAGTTAGTGTTGTCGTCTTTGTCTAGAATTCCGTAGTAATAGTACTTGTTTAAAGATGCTATGGTTCCTTCGTCGTATTTCATTGACCTGCGCTTCCATCCCTCAAAGTCGACAATGAAGAAAGTGTAGGTGGGGAGGATATTGACTGGTGGCTACCACTTTTATCTATAACATAGACTTAAGCCTAGAGAGTCATTTCTATAACTTAGACTTAAGCCTAGAGGCCATATCTATAATGCTTAGGATTTTTTGAAAGGCATTTCAAATGTAGGCCTGGGTATTTCATAGTGAATTTTCCATAGATACCCAGCGCATTTTCTGCGAAATTTCAAATGCAGCCCTGGATATTTCATTGCGATTTTTCAATAGATACCCTTGGTATTTCATTGCGATTTTTCAATAGATACCCTGGGCATTTCATTGCGATTTTTCAAATGTATCCCTGGATATTTCATTGCGATTTTTCAAATGTATCCGGATATTTCATTGCAAAATTTCAATGGATACCTGACGCATTTCATTGCGATTTTTCAATAAATACCCTGGGCATTTCATTGCGATTTTTCAAATGTATCCCTGGGTATTTCATTGTGATTTTTAAATGTATTCCTGGGTATTTCACTGCGATTTTTCAATAGATACCCTTGGTATTTCATTGTGATTTTTCAATAGATACCCTGGGCATTTCATTGTGATTTTTCAAATGTATCCCTGGATATTTCATTGCAAAATTTCAATGGATACCTGGCGCATTTCATTGCGATTTTTCAAATGTATCCCTGGATATTTCATTGCAATTTTTCAAATGTATCCCACATGTCAGGGTCCATGCAATGGGCTTCCCTGGAGGGTGGTCACATGACCAATTACCAAAAATGGTCAAAAAAACGAAAATTGTAGCCCTACACTGTAGCTTCCTGAATCTGTTTCAATTATGTTCTGAAGTGCTCCCATTGTGGAGATATGAGGTAAAGGAATTTCAAAAGCGTTGCGTTTTTTTTTGTTGTGTTTTTCTCTATGAAAACAAAACCAAATAACATGATTTCAGTATATTCAGAAAGCTAAAAGAAAGGGCTACAATTATGGTATTGTGGGAAAAATGACCAAAAAAGGAAGGTGCATCCCATACTATAAGAATCAAATATAGACTACCAAGTTTACTGATAGACTACAAAAAAGTCGGACTTAGACTACACAGTTTACTGATACACTATAAAAGACTACAAAAGTCGAAATTAGACTACAAAGTTTACTAATACACTACAAAAGACTACAAAAGTCGAACTTAGACTACAAAAGCATGGACTTAGACTACATAGTTAGGGTTAGAGTCAAAAGGTTATCTTGACTACAAAGTTTGTAGTGTGCGCTTTTTCATTAAAAAAGCTTGTAGTGTCCGCTTTTTGAGACTACAAAAGTTGTAGTGTTGCGCTTTTTCATTAGAAAAGTTTGTAGTGTCCGCTTTTTGAGACTACAAAAGTTTGTAGTGTGCGCTTTTTTATTAGAAGAGTTTGTAGTGTCTGCTTTTTCATTTAAAAAAGTTTGTAGTTGACATGTAGTTTATGGTGTCCTTGGCCCTATCTATGTTATGGGGATGAGGTTGATTGCCATCATATTGCCAGTGCCAGCATTAGTATTTGACATCATGCACAAGTTGTCTTTCACATTAGGAAAGGCCATTCTATGTCTTTCATATTGATACCTACTGTCCTATCTGAAGACATAATTGTAAGCTCATTGACATGACATGACCAGTTTTTGACATCATGACCAAGTTTGCCTTTCACGCTGTCTGCTTTCACATTGATAACTACTGGCCTGTCCCAAACATAGTCAACTTTGATACAGGTCTTTGAGGGCTGTAGGATGATGGGCTGATTCATCCTTTGAGGTGTCTTGAAGACAGGTCATGTTGTAAGTTGACCATGTATTGAGTAGATATCAACATGAATAGCCTTCTCTAGCTTGAAAGCCAACTTGGGCATGATGTGAGGAACTGATGATGTGGCAATAGCAATATGTAAAGTCATGTCAATCCTTCAGCCATATCCCCATATGAGCTTACAATTATGTCTTGAGATAGGACAGTAGGTATCAATATGAAAGACATAGAATGGCCTTTCCTAATGTGAAAGACAACTTGTGCATGATGTCAAATACTAATGCTGGCACTGGCAATATGATGGCAATCAACCTCATCCCCATAACATAGATAGGGCCAAGGACACCATAAACTACATGTCAACTACAAACTTTTTTAAATGAAAAAGCAGACACTACAAACTCTTCTAATAAAAAAGTGCACACTACAAACTTTTGTAGTCTCAAAAAGCGGTCACTACAAACTTTTTTAATGAAAAAGCGCACACTACAAACTTTGTAGTCAAGATAACCTTTTGACTCTAACCCTAACTATGTAGTCTAAGTCCATGCTTTTGTAGTCTAAGTTCGACTTTTGTAGTCTTTTGTAGTGTATTAGTAAACTTTGTAGTCTAATTTCGACTTTTGTAGTCTTTTATAGTGTATCAGTAAACTGTGTAGTCTAAGTCCGACTTTTTTGTAGTCTATCAGTAAACTTGGTAGTCTATATCTGATTCTTATAGTACAGGATGCACCTTCCTTTTTTGGTCATTTTTCCCATGATACAATAATTGTAGCCCTTTCTTTTAGCTTTCTGAATATACTGAAATCATGTTATTTGGTTTTGTTTTCATAGAGAAAAACACAAAAAAAAAAAAACACGATGCTTTTGAAATTCCTTTACCTCATATCTCCACAATGGGAGCACTTCAGAACATAATTGAAACAGATTCAGGAAGCTACAGTGTAGGGCTACAATTTTCGTTTTTTTGACCATTTTTGGTAATTGGTCATGTGACCACCCTCCAGGGAAGCCCATTGCATGGACCCTGACATGTGGGATACATTTGAAAAATTGCAATGAAATATCCAGGGATACATTTGAAAAATCGCAATAAAATGCCCAGGGCTCCATTTGAAAAATCACAATGAAATACCCAGTAATGCATTTGAAAAATCGCAATGAAATGCACAGGGCTACATTTGAAATTTTGCAATGAAATACCCAGGGTATCTATTGAAAAATCGCAATGAAATGCACCAGGTATCCATTGAAATTTTGCAATGAAATATCCAGGGATACCTTTGAAAAATTGCAATGAAATGCCCAGGGTATTTATTGAAAACCGCAATGAAATACCAAGGGTATCTATTGAAAAATCGCAATGAAATATTCAGGGCTGCATTTGAAATTTCGCAGAAAATGCGCTGGGTATCTATGGAAAATTCACTATGAAATACCCAGGCCTACATTTGAAATGCCTTTCAAAAAATCCTAAGCATTATAGATATGGCCTCTAGGCTTAAGTCTAAGTCATAGAAATGACCCTCTAGGCTTGGGTATAGGTTATAGAAATAAAGTGGTAGCCACTAGTGGGATATTAGGGTCATCGACTGAACAATAGGTGAACGCTTCCTGGAAGAAATGATCGAGTTTGATAGCTTGATGTGTGATCTTGTTGAGGTCTTCCCCTTCGATCGAGGTCTTTACCTTCCCCGGGTTATTCCATATGGAATCCATGGAATCAATGTTGGCTGAGGACCCAGCCAGTTTCTTATTCCATAGACATCATGGATTCCATATGGAATGATGATGGAATGGTCATGGAATGATTAATTCCATATGGACTCCAACACCACTCCATATGGATTCCATTGGATTCCATATGGAATGCAGGCATACCCACACTGGAGTCCATGGAACAGTCCATATGGATTCCATGGAAGACCATGGAAGGCCAGTATACCATTAGAATACATATAAACATATTATTTATGGTGTCCTTACTATATTTAAATAAAAATAAGTTTTGCACTCAAGAGAATTGAACCCTCGACATCGTGGACAACAGTAGCACTAAAGCCAACTGAGCCATGCAGGCTTTATTATACAGTAAGATAAAGGTAACTATATACCACACCAGCACACGTGGCGTCATATGTGTGGCTGGAATGTCACCCACTTCGTTCCTTCCTTCCCCACCACCACCATCCACCATCCCTCACCACCGCCACAAACCACGGGCGCCCGCGACATCGACAACGACGACACGTGACAACACTGACAACACATGAGGACACACAACGTCGCCACCGACCACCCACGACCATTGACGAGCGCCCAGGAGGTGAAGACGACGTGGCAGGTGTGCCACGTCATCCAGACGGTGACGACGCATGCCATCGTCACTGTCCAAGCTGATCAGGTGAGTGCACCCACCCCCTTTCTTTCCGTCTCACACCACATCCAGGGGCCATGTCGCTGTCTGCGACGTGGCAACAATTCGACAACACGACACGACAACAACAGGGCACAACCACAACAGAACGACACCACTGGGGACGAGGACGGTGCCATGTCACGACGCAACCACGAGCACCCACCAACATCAACAACCGCCCACGAAGACAAGCGCCCACAACACGACAACAACCAAATCCGCCCACCCACGAACGATGCCCACCGCCCCACACGGCCCCACCACCCATGAACCCCCACCCACAACAACGAATGCCCACGAGTGCCCACAACATGACAACGAATGCCCACGAATGCCCATGCACGACAACGAATGCCCACAAGCGCAACGCGCAAACGACAATGCGAAGACAAACGAAACGGCAACCCAGCCCCACGGATGCCAATACAGCACACCACCCACGACCAACGACCCAGAGCGCCCACACACGGAGGATTCCGCTCGCGTGAACGGAAATGGGCAACGACGAGCCCAGGTGAGCTCCCCCCTCCCTCCATCACTCCACACCACCACCCCCTCCATTATTCCACCATTATTCCACACACCACTCCCTCTATCACTCCCCTCCATCTGTTGCTCCCCCTCCCTCTGTTGCTACCCCTCCCTCTGTTGCTCTCCCTCCCATTTCTCCCCCCCTTCATCACTCCCCCTCCTATTACTCCCCTTCCATCCATTCCCACCCCTCCCTTCATCACTCCCTCTCCCCTCCATCACTCCCTACACCCTCCCCCCTCCATCACTTC